AGTCTGACATCGAGTGAACTACATAAGGCAGTCAGATGCTTGGACTTGAACGTGTGTGAACTACGAAGCCATGTAGCAGGAGGGTAGTCAGTTGGGAGAAGGGGTGTTGAACCTGATCAGCCGATTAGCCATGAGGGAAAGATTGCATAACTTACCTCATTGTGAACACATCATAAAGAAGGTGGTCTTCAGGAGGCTACAGGTGGGAAGGCCACAGGTAATGGGACACGTGAACTTAAGGGTGTTTTCGTTTTGTGGGTGTTTTTTAGTGCCGTTTGGAGTATCTTAGTAAGGGAAAAATCATGTCACTACAATAGATTAAATACAAGCATGAAAATACCCTTATTTTAAAAGGATAACAGTGATAGGTAGACAGATCTGCATTTGAGTGTCTTTTGCTCTTCTCTGGGTTTAACCAAGTTTTCTTAAATTGATCTTCAAGAGGAACTTAAAGAATAGAAATGGGGATAGCATGCCATATGGGTTAGTGGGAGGGTTCTCAAAGAATGTGAGAATGGTATAATAAAATCAGATGAGGTGGAAAATGATAAAAAAGAAAACTATTAAATAGGGACAGATAAACTTTTTAAAAATACCACTGTTCATACAGAAATATACTTGCCTATATAAATTTCTGAAAAGCCACTATCTAAAAGAAACTAGTACTTAAATGTAAGCTGTGTTATAATGAGCAAAACAGAATCAGAGACACGGAGGGGGGTGGGTTGGGACTGGTTGAAAGAAGGTGAAGAGATTAGACAAAGAGCATGTGCATCACCCATGGACATGAACAACGGTGTGAGAATTGACTGCGGTAAGGGGGGAATTGGGGTGAAGGACCATGGGGGGAAATTAGAACAACTGTAATCACATGAACAAAATTTAAATAGATAAAAGAAACTGCTACTTTAAAAATCAGCATTTATGGTTGTCAGTTAAGGTCTTGGTTCTCTAAAAAATAATGACCTCATGACAAAAAAGTTACATGGACATCTTTGAAGTACATTTGAAAGAAGTTTTTTTAATAGGATGTCAGTTACATTGGCCTTCCAAGTTTTTATTAGTAAGCAAGTTATAGTCAGTTCTTGTTGAGCTGATTTGGAAATTCCTTATAACTCGGCTCTTCAAAAGTATCGACTCATTTAATTGCATTTAGATTCATTCCTTTCTAAAAGCTGCTGAGAAAACAAATTAGTGCTTGGAACTGTTTACACTCGTAAATGCAATTAAAATTGAGAAGTCAGTTGGGAAACTCTGGGATCTCTGAAAATAGCAATTTTTTTTCTCATATTAATTCAAACTGATGAAGTGGGAAAAAAACCACTTCAGGAGTTTATCAAATGCCATATATATTAGATACAAATTAAGTGGGCTACGTACATTCTTTCCTAGATGAAAAGGTAATTTGTTCAAGTGTCTGAAATAGTATTACATTTTTTTTAATTTTTTGTGTCCTTTGCTACTACATGGGATATTTTAAACCAGGTGTGTCCAACCTTTTGGCATCACTGGGACACACTGGAAGAAGAAAGAGCAGTCTCGGGCTACACATTAAATACATGAACACTAATGAAAACTGATGAACCCAAAAAAGGTCTTAAGTAAATTTACGATTTTGTGTTGGGCTGCATGCATAGCCATCGGGGGCCACAGGTTGGACACTATGTTTATGTAACAAATATTTTCAAATTGAACTTCAAAACTCAGTCAAGTTTTAAATTTTTAGCGAGCTAAAAGAAGAGCTTAAGATCTGGATGAATGAGCTACAGTTTACAGTTTACATGGCCCTTTTAAAATATTCAGTATATGTAAACTTTCTGTTAAAATGTATAATTGAGTAGAAGCTCCTGACTTTGCTTGGCAGATTGAATGATTCCCCAGGAATGGCATCTCTGTATTAGTGCCACCAGTTTTCAAACAGATGGCCCATTAAACTCAGTGCAGGAGTTAGTCCACTGGAAGATGCCTTTTGTTAACCTCTGAGCAGCCTGGCAAAATTGTGCATCCTGGCTCCGTTGCTAGGATAGGCAAAAAAAAAAAAATTATTGCAGGAGTCCTCGAATGATAATTGGTAATAAGTTTTGGTTTGTTTGAATATAACTTTAATTTTTGTGTATTCATTTCCCTCCTTTTCCTGGAGTACTCACTGGGTGCCAGGCAGTGACATGGAGGATGCAGGTAAAACAGATGCAGTCCTCTTTCTCACAGAACCTACTAACAGGAGCTAAAGGCCAGTGAAGAGGTCATTGGAAAAGCCAGTGTGTTAAGCTAGTCCGTGGTTAGAAAATGTCTCTTAGAGAAAATGAGAACGAGGCAGAGGCGATGAAGACCCAGAGAGTGTAGTGAGAGAGTGGACATGAAGCAGGATTTGAGATGTCGTGCTACTAGATTTTAGGGGGGGCGGGGAGGGGAGAATCTATACAGATGGACAGCAGAACATCGTGGAAGGTGGGGAAGGAGCTGTCAAGGAGGGCACCCAGGTTTCTTCCTTAAGTAGCTGTTGGTGCCAGACTCAGGAAGAGGATCAGCTAGTGAGAACGAAGAAAGAAGTTTATCTTTAGGCAGGGTGGGATGGCTGAGTAGAAATGTACACTCTGTCAGAAGTCTTGCCCATGACACTTGTTTGTTTCATTTTTAGGGGATTTTTCTCCTGAATGTCAGAATCTGGACTTTTAGTAGCATATTATTTTTTTTCACAGTCAGTTGAATAGAGTGTTTCTCTGATTTGCTGTCCGTCTCCACAGATTACTGTGTACATAGTATCATGTGCTTAGCTGGGTTCCTGGTTTTCATTTGAGCATTTAAGTAAAAGTTTAAAGAAAAATTATTTCTAGAGCAAGTTGTATTACATGAATTACTAAGAAACAACACTGAATTAAAAAATTGTAGAAGCTCACGGTATTCTTCAAATAGATATCTATGATATTGACCTGTTAAAGCTCTGGGGCACATGGAGAAATTCATTGTTTCGTATAATTTTTTAATATAATGTCTGAAGTTTCTAAGTAAATTTTCAGAATTTAATAGCATCATTAATCACTTTTGTGCAGCCTAGTTTTAAACCTTTTTATATGCTAAAGAACTTCTTTTACTTGAAGGAGAATCTTCTAATTTACTTTTTAGTTTCAAGTATTGACTAAATCATTGCTACAGGCGTTAGCACTGGGGCCTTGGAATGAAAATGAGACCGTTTACTGAGGGGGCCAGGGGTGGGGCTGGCTACTCGTCTCTTGGCGGTGAGCTCACAGTGCATGGGAAAGCTCTCGAACACGTTCTCTGAAGTGAGTGAAGCAGGCACATTTTAGGTTCTCTCTACTCACCTGCTGTGTATGCAGAGCAGTATTAGACTCAGGCAGAAGAATGGAGCCGTTTGGTTTATAGTTCAAACTAAATACAGTTTGTCTCGCTGATCTAAAACCTGTATAACAGAACTGTTCATATTTTGCTAATAAGCAAGGTTTGTGAACTTTGTTAATTTACCTAGTTTCCAAGGTGTACAGTAGGTTATCAAATAGCACTTTGAGGTTTTATACTTAAGTATTTTAACTTTGCTGGAAATTTGACCTAAATAGGTACAATAACTGATTTTTTTTAAATTGTGTGTACACGTAATTGCAATACAGGTAGGAAAGGGGTATTAAACAGAGGAAGTGGAAAGCCACTCAGGTGCTAGGCTAAAAAAAAAAAGTTTTCGCTGACTCATCAGAAAAAATTACATCCTTTGTTTTAAAAATTGAAGTCTTAACAATTTTATTAACTGAGTTCCAAACTCTAACTAATGGTAGGATAATGAAGTATTTGACCTATAACAGTAAATTGGCTATAAAAGTGCTTGCGAATAACCGAATGGGGTCTCCATCAGTCCTTCACAAGCTGTGTGTGTAGACCTCCTGAACACTGACGTTATAAGCATATCAAACAACTGCTCATGAGGTAAATTCAAACCTCAGCATTTTCTCCCACTCAACAAAAAAATTAAACTTAAAACAGATATCATACACTTTTTATAGAAGCTGAGCAGATTTAGAGTGTTCGCTTCTCTGGCAGGCATTAATTTTCAGCTCCACATCCCCATTCACTTTCAGTATAAAGCACTGCTCTTTGACTTGACCAGTAAGGCTTAAACTTATAAAAATGTATGAACATTCTGTAGTTTGAAATTTATATTTGAAATGTAGTCTACATTTTTTTTTAAAAATTGATTTACCCTACGTAAGCTTTACTAAAAAAGATAGATATAGAAATATAATAAGAATATTTCCATTATTTATGATGTATAATGAACACTTGTGAGTTGAACAATTATTCTGGCTATTGTATCTTGTCAGATTGAGTTTCTTGCTATATGAAAAATAATTTTGTATAATACATTTTTCTAGAAGATAAAATTATCCTGATAAAGTTTTGATAAGTACAAAACTGAAGCGTGAAAACATCTTAGATGCTTTTATTCATACTTATTATCTTAACAGTTCATTGACTTTCGGAAGCTTTTATTAAAATGAGTATTTTCTGGTTCTGGGTTTTTCCCCGAGTAAAAACATAACTAATAATTGAAGAACATGACTTACTATGCTCTTGTCAAGGGAAAAATATCATCAAGCCTTTCTTTTCTTGAGCCTTATGATAGAATTTTTGCTAGTGTGTACTTCAGAAGGATTGTGAAGAAAGCACAATAATGCAAAGGCCAAGAATCTGTAAATGTAAATTGCTAGCTCAGTAGTATTTTTGTTTATATTGTATGCAATAACATGCCTCTAGACTAAAGTTAAGGTTGAATCTTTAAGTCCTTAAAAAGGATTTACTATTTTTAAGAGTTTAATATTACTGAATTATAGTTAAATTGAAGCAGAACCATTAGACCACATTTTATATTATTAATACCAATATCCTTTAGCATTTTTCCTCTAGCTTACAAACTGTCTGTGACTGTATTTTACTAAGATCTGTATATTAATGCAATTTGTATAAAAGAAAAATTTTCCTTTACTTTTTTATAGGAGTGCCAAAATCTAATCTCTTGCACACAACATCATTAAGGGGCCATAAAGACTGCTTTGAAAAATACCATTTGATTGCAAACCAGGATTGTCCTCGATCTAAGCTTTCAAAAAGTACTTATTACGAAGAAGTTAAAACCATTTTGAGTAAGAAGATAAACTGGATTGTACAGTATGCACAAAATAAGGATGTAGACTCAGATTCTGAATGTTCTAAAAATCCCCAGGATCACCTGTTCAATTTTCAGCATAAGCCAGATAAAAAGTTGCTGCCGTGGTGTGAGTCCCAAGTACCAAAGTATTCTGCTAAGTGGATAGATGGGGGTACAGCCGGCCTCTCAGACTGCACACAAAGCATCCTGGAGCAGAGGGACAGTACAGACTTTGGGCTGGCTGTGTTACAGGACGCAGGTGTCACTTTATGCCCCAGTCGTGGACTGTGGTCTCACAGTCAAAACCAGGCACAGAAAAAAGAAGAGACCATCTCTGATGGTCATCAAGAGGCAAATGTCCAGACCCAGCATCCTCATTACAGCAGAGAGGAATGTAAGTAAAACGGGAGAAAGATGAAACAGTTTTATTAGGGTTTTTTGTACATCCTTATGTATTTGGTGTTTTAGAATTTTGCGGTAGAACTAAAGATTTTGTAAATAGACTATCGAAGTGACAGGTTCACCCTATAAAAAATGAGGTGTCTTAAAACACTCCATCAGTTCTCTGGAATCCTCCATGGTATGTCCTGAGCATTAGACTTCTGCACTACCATGAGTTGTTTTGACATTCTAAATTTAAATTAAACTAAATAGAATCAACAAACTGAATGGAAAAGTTCAAGGTTCATATATAGAGTAAAGGTCCAGCCTCAACCATTGGCTTACGCATGTTGTCACATCACCAGTCCCTACAAGGCTAATTGGGAATGGCATTTCAGAAGCAAAAATCAGACGTTTCACTGAAGGCCGAAGGTAATGTGTTATTTAAAGTTATAAAAGTGACTCATTCAGTCTGCATCTCCAGAAGCTGAGATCATTTTAATTGACTTAAATAATTTTTGAGCAAGAAGGGACCATGGGTATATTTTTATAAAACTTCTTGATTCTACATATCTCAGGTTACGTAACTGGGTAGACAACACAACTTTTCAGATTGTTCTAGTATTTTATAGTAGTGTTTTTCAAACTGGGAATCACGAGCTGTGTAAAATTGACTTGATGGGAGGTATCAGAATCCAGGGGACCTGGTGAAGTGCTTTCTGGTGAGACTCTCCTTTCAGGGGAGGTGCACTGGGAGTGATATGAAATGTGGTTTTACTGTGGGTTGAGGTTAGGATTTAAGAACTCCACACTGCAGGAGTTAATGAATCCTAGGGTGCTGCTGAATGTTATGTTGGCAGATAAGGACAAGTATTTTCTAAATAAGATATTGTGTTAGTGATGAAGACACCTTCTTTTCTCAGGTTGTTGTGGTAATAATGAATATGTTTTCATGTTTCAGTGAATTCGATGACTTTTGGTGAGGTAAAGCAACTGAATGCAAAGCTCCAACAGCAAATACAGGGTAAAGAATCAGTGTCATTTTTTTTGTATGTGAAAATTTTGATGTAGAAAATCTCCTATAACAGGGTAACATTAGCTTTATCTGCATTTAAATTTGAAAATGGGATTAAAACCTATTATGTTTCAAAGCAAAAAGAATAAGAGAACAACTTCCTTATGAACCGCAGGGGAAATAGGTTTTTCTTTTTTTTTTTTAAGTGAAAATGAAGACTACATCTTAAACTCTACCTTCTCACTGACTCCCTGCTATTTTTTTGACTCCCTACTGCTGTGCCAGGCACTGTGCCGGTGGCTTTCCTAACAGTTGTTCAATGCAGGTCTTAGTCCTGGTCTTGAACAATTTCACACACAAAGGTAGTAGGAATAGTACAGTGAATCCCTTCACCCATCGTCATCAGCTTCAACTATTACAAAAAGCATAGCCAGTTTTCCTTCATTCCCACTTGTACCCATTACCCTCACCCACCCACCCCACCCCCCGACCCCAGCATGGATTACCTTGAAACACATCCCAGACAACATTGTTTTGTGCAAAAATACTTCAGGATTTACTGTAAAAGGTAACTTTTCAGAGTAATCCAAACCTCATATCATCTTTAAGAAGAAAACCAGCTAGTAATTTTTAATGTCATGAAATATGATTCTAACACCAACAGTTAACAGTGTTCTCATTCCCCAGTTGTCTCTTATTTTGTTTTACAATTGACTCCCATCTGTGAGGGAACTGCACTCCAAAGACAGTTAAGGTGTTTACAGAGATTATGCATTTATTTAGTCAGTAGCAGATTAGAGATTCTAACCCCATCGTTTTTAACTATAAGGCTAGTGGCATTTCTTGACCACAGCCTCTCAGAATAAAATAATAACAATAACAGTAGTAATAGCAACATATATTTTATCAAGTACTTACTCTGTGGTAAGTACTTTACAAGTATGACCTTATTGTACCCTCACAGTAACCTTGTGAAAGATTTACTCTCGTGAAGGCAATACATAAGGGGAAACTAAAACAGTTTAAGTTACTTTGCCTGAGACTTGGTAGAGTAGCAACGGAGTTAGGCACTAATGTGCACTTACTTTCGTAAGTCACATTGGACTGACTGAACCTGTTTCTACTTCAAACTGGGAAACATGTCTCAGAGGTAGTTGTACTGTCATTTCTGCTGCATATCCATATAGTCATTGCTTATGACACTTAGGTGTCACGTGGTGGAAAAAAGGAATTCCATACTGCAGCGGGCTGCACAAAGTCCGCAACTCCCCGGATGATCAGAACACCACTGTTTCCTTGGTGTGAGATCACTTTCATTGCAAACATTTCACCCGCTGCTTTCGGTTAAAGTACTTGAAATATAAATCATTAGTAGGGTTAGCTTTCTGTGTTCTAAAAATGGAACAACTTTCTACATTTTTACAGAAGTTTCTGAAAAGTTAACACACCACCTGCAAGAAAAGGATTCTTTAGCCTCAGAGCTCCACGTCCGCCACGTCGCCATCGGGCAGCTTCTCAAGAACTATTCCAAGTTACCATGTCTGCAAGTGGGACGAACAGGAATGAAGCCGCACCTGCCCGTAAACAACTGAGCTGCACCGAACACTTACTTCCTGCGCACTACCACTTGTTGGTCTGCCAGCCATGCGGACTCTGAACAATCTGCAGAAAGTCGTGGTTCACTTTGTGATGCTCATTAAATTTACCAGGCTTAAAGGCAGTATTTATCTTTGTCACGTAAAACCGATCATTGCACTGTAGGCTTGTAGGGTTGATCATCTTGGCCTGTTTGGGAATCTTTTTTCCCATAATTACTAAATGGTCCTTCCTAATTTTTACGACGTGTGACTATTTAAATATACTGTTATGGTGTGATTTTGTTAAACACAGTTTAATGTAATTCACCTTTTAAAACAATAGAAGTTTAACAAACTTCTTAGGTTAGTCTGAACTACTAACGATAAAAATGAAAGAAGGAAGTGAAATTCATAATATCACCTTATTTATTATGAGCAATATTTTAATACGAAAATTTTATATATAAAAATGCTATTTTAGGTACCTTTCCATTCTCTTTATAAATGTGTATTTGAATGGCTCTGTATATTATATTTACACTTTCATGTGTGACTGTTACCCATATTTCAGAACACTGCATTTTATTCTCTTAATACACTGCTTTTACAACTGTTACCTTATTTTCCAAAGATAAATGTATTTTGGAGTAGAAATCTATCTAGTTGAATTGTTTGACTTCTAACAACCCTTATGAAAGAGGAATTAATAACTTTTTAAAGCAAATATACAAGAAAATAAACTATATAATTGTTTTCTAACTAAAGCAGTTTTGAGTTTATTCCGGAAGAAAATGCTAATCTAGCTTTTGTCAGTCAGTTTGTCTCCACAGAAGTAAAAGCCTCTTTTATTTCATTATTACTTTCATCCCATTTTGATGTGTTAGAATTGGGACAGAGTAAGTCAGGGCTCACTTGCAAGTCAAATGTCATATCTATCTTCAAACTGGATGCACTGTGAAATAATTGTCCTATCTTGGAAAAAGTTAAAATTATTCTGTTGCCACTTTGGATAAATGTTCAAGAACCCTTGAACTGTCCAAGTTATAAAGCAACATCATTGAAATTAGTCTTGAACACAAACTAGTAGAAAACGACTTTCTGGATTACTAAAATAGGTTCAGTTTGCCCAAGAGTATTACTTGACATCTCATTCCTCTTCGAAGGACGACATGACTGCTGTTTGGAGGGAGCCTTTGACAGGTACTTTCAGTTTCTCTCAGTGCTTTGAGCCATCCACAGTGCATGTAAAATCCAGGAGCGGGGATGCATTGCCTTAGTGTTTGATAAGCTTTAAATTGAATGTGTGCAATATCGAAATCCGTAAATTTACAAGTTAATAAAGATTTTTCTAGATGATGCCAGTAAGGAGCTTAGTGCTTAGTTGTTACAGTCACATTTTCCAGTCTGACTTTACTCTTTTTTGGCATAACTCGTTAAGGATGTTACCAGCCAGTGCTCGCACACACCGGTGCTTCTAGTTAGATCACTTTGGGACCCTTCAACCTTCGGGATGTGTTGCACTCGATACCAGTAGTAGCACATTTCCAGCACGTGAGCCATATGGTGCAGCCCTGAGGGAACAACAGTGTTAGCCAAAGAAAGCGAGTGCTTATTTCTGAAAGAACTCTGGCAGATACGTAGCTTTACTAATGAGTTAGGGAAAATTCGATGGGATTATGCTTCTACCAAGCTCTTAATCAGGGACTCCGAGTTACTCCATTTAGATATTTCTCCTTAAGCTCTTCAAAGGAAAGATGCTCTTAAAAAATACCTGTGGTGCTGGTACTCACACTAGTACTTTATTTGGCTAAATAAAAAAGTTGTTAGTGTATTTTGCACAGTGGTTTATTCAGATATTTGATAAGCATTTTATACATTGTTGTTTAATGCTTTATAAGCATTAAATCCATTGTTGTGGTTTTTTTTATTTATTGATTTTAGGGAAGTATCAATTTGTTGTTACACTTATTTATGCATTCACTGATTGATTCTTGTGTGTGCCGTGATGGGTTTGAACCCACAACCATGGCACAGTGGGACAGCGCTTTAACCAACTGAGCTACCCAGCCAGGGCCCCGCTGTTAGTTTTCTTGATTGAATATGAAATTATTGTATATGCTAAAAGAAAGCTAAGGGACAGAGTTGAATTCTACCTTGAGAGAATATAAAATACCACAGATACTGGTTACCATACTTGGCTATTCTGTACATTTAGTACTTTTTGCGGAAGTTTGGAAGAAAACCTTATCTATACCTTCAGTTTAAAAAATGACGAGAGAGATTGCAAATTATCTGTTATTATTTCAGAGCCTATATGGTTAAGGGGAATGAAGTCAGTTATTTTTTTCATGTTAGATTTCATAATTAGACAAGTTGAATTGAGTTTTTAAAAAGGTCAGTTTGCAGTCAGAAGGGATTTTGACACCACCCAGGATTGTTCTCAAAGTTTTCAGATCTGCTCGGCCGTTTATCATCCTTTGATCCCAGTATTTAATGTCCTGAATTTCTTAGTTTTTAAAAAGTCATGTGCTTGAGACATGAATAGTAGATATAGGCACCAGAATAGTGTTTCGTAGCTTCTCATGTATGATGTTGAGGCAAAGAAACATTCTTTTTCAAATGATATGTTCATTTCACCACAAAGTGCCCATTTTTATATACATTGAGGGTTATTTTTAAAATAAGTTCATGTTGGAAAGTGATTTGAGAAAATACTCTTGTTGGCATCTTGACAGGCATCTTGAGATTTCTCAGGTTTTTCATTTTACCGTATTCTTTAAAGTACTTTCTTTTTTCATCATATATCTAATAGCTTGGTGTTTAAATTCTTGAGTATTGTCCATCAATTTTTTTCTAGGGTTTCTTTCTTATTTACTTAATTTTTTGCATCTCTTTGTGTATTAATGTTTGCCAGTTTTTGTTTTATTTTGGTTTTTTAGAAGAAATCTTGTATTAATGTTGGAAAATGTAATACAAAATGTGTATGTTCCAAAGTTAAACAGGAGCTTTTAAAAAATAAATTATTTGTGTAGCTTAGTAGGAGATTCAGGTTAGTGAACATAAAATTAGGTTATGTGGTGTGAAAACTTTTCAATGGCTATTGTAGTGTTACTTTTCTAACTTATGCCAATTAGTTACTGACAGATGTTACTGCTTATGCTGAGGTAAAATACTGAGTATTTTTAGGTACTTACGAAGTTTAGTACTCTTAAAGATTCTTTATCTTATGTCCAGAAATGACTGTAAAAGCAAAGTTAATTGATTTCACTTCATTGTTCAATTGCATTTTTAATTTTAGGTTGGTAGAAATAATTATTTGAAAAAGGCTGTGCTTAAAATCAGTAAGACATAAAACTCAACAGGTTATTCTTGCCAAGTTAAGCTTTTTGGTAGTGGGCTGGGGGAGCGTTTACTTCCCTGAATAGTAAGGTAATACGGCTGTGTACCTGTACCGGTTTGCGTCTCAGCATTTTCACTCCCTTCAGCCTTTCCTAATTGCCTTCCTTATACAATGTAGTCTTAAGCAACTTGGTCGAGTTGCTGTGAACCTACAGTAGCAAGTCTCTAGCATTGAGATTTTTCTTTAGCAACTGCTTTGTAATACATCTATTCTTAGTTTGTGAGAGACCAGGATGCTACTGCGTTTGAGTGATACAGGAGTGAAGCAAAATCATGGAGACGAGTATTGCCCTCCCCCCCCCAAAAAAGAGTGTTAGTTGAACTCCCCTCGCCTACACATAAAACAAAGGGAATTTTAGTAAATACATGTTTCTTATTTCTTTCAAAAGTATAGAATATTTATTTTCATTCTACTACTTTGAAAAGAGGCAGTTTAGAAAGTGTTCCGTTGTGACTTCTGTAGAAAGCCATTGCTACTTTTTCAATACATTGCTTGTGTTAACCTTGTTTTAAGTCGAGTAGATTATACCGTGGTCATTGAACTTAATCTCGCTTTGGTGTTAGAAATTTACTTTACAATATTGTGCTAAGACCTTTGGAAAAACCAGAGTTGGTTTCAAAAAAGTTTCTAGAGACATTATTTTAGCTGTTACACTTTTCTTTTAAAACTACAATAGTTTACGTATTTGTATTGCTCTGCTTTGGAACTGTAACTACTTATGCTTGTCTACTATTTTTAATTTTTCAACAATAAAACAAATATTTTGTTAAATGTTAGTTTCAGTGGGATTTTTACAAGAACGTTTTTCTTAAATGGTTGACCCATATGGAGGATTTTGTCTTGCAGGGTTAAGGAGTCTAATGATTTCTTAATTTCTTGTGAGACTCTTTCTTTGAAATTTAAGTGAACATGCTCTCTCCTGAGTCCAGATGCAGGTAGTAAGGCCCTGTAACCTAGTGGGTGTTGGAGTTTCAACAACTGTCCACCATCACCCTCTGTGCCCCTTTCCAGCCTCCCCGCCCCCCACTTCCCTGCCCCGACCCCCACTGTTCCATTTGCCTGCTCTAGAACTTGGCCTGTTATTGTACAGTACGTGCTCATTTGCCTCTGGCTTTTTTCACTCCACTGGATGTTTTGAAATTCATATTAACACAACAGTCAGAAGTTTATTCTCCTTTTTTGCTGACTAGTTATTGCTGTCTGCACACATTATAATTTGTTTATTCATTCACCTGTTGATGAACATTTGAGTTGTTCCCAGTTTGGGGCTAATAGGGGTGAAGCTATTATGAATTTTTTAATTGGCTTTTAAAAGAATTTTTAAATAGTGTAACAAAATATTCAAGATTACTTGTGATTAGCATTATGAATGTGTAAATATTAAATTACCATTTTTCCATGCACAGTTTTTTTCCATGCAGTTTTTAAAGTAATTTATATAATTTTGTAGTAATGAAAAAATGTCAACCTAGGAAACAAAGACAGTTGTACAGAAGATCAGAGGCAGAATACAAAATAAAGAGTGTTTGACAATTGAAACATTGAATGGGGTGCTAAGAGAATCTTAATCATTCTTGAAGTCTCTTCGCAAGTTTTAACAGTGTAAGACATGTATCACTGTTTTCTAGAAGAGACAAGGAGGGCCAAGAAACTCTGGCTTGGCAAAAGTACTGGAAAGGACACAGACCACAAATGAAGTGGTCCTGTTTAAAGCACTTTGAGATGTAAAGGGAAATTTGTCACTTTTCTAACCTGCATTCATTCAGCGAGACCGAACAAACAGTTGGTAAAGCAAGCCTGCGCTGCTTTATCACCTTTGTTCCTGCCCAGGTTCCAAGACTTCTTGGGCATTTTCAAACCATTTCTGAAATGACTTGGTCTCCTTTCACTTTGCAGTGTCACTCTGGGGCATAGAATTCTTTGCAGGTGTCTTATAGACCGGCAGGTCGGAGTCACGAGTGTTGAGGGAGAGCAGCAGGCAGAACAGTGCCTTTTTACATCATTTGTATGTGGTGTTCTATTCATAAAAAGATTAATAGCTTTTACTTTTGGGATCTGAACTAGATAATGTCTTAGATATATTTATCTTGAAAATTCCATGATTTGCAAGTTTAACCAGTGGGGTTTGCATGTTTGCGGTTCTCTGCATCAGAGTCCCATCCCAGTGGTCAGATGGCACAGATTGCCTTCACCTCTAGAAGCAAAAAATGACCGCCCCAGCCTCCCTTGCATCCAGGCAACCCTTGACTGATGACACAAAACCTGGGTAGGAAAGGATCCGTGCTGAGAGCAGCAGTGTCTGTCAACAGAGGCAACACCTGGTACCTAGATCCAGTGGGGGCTCCTGGCATCTGGTGTTGAGTGGCCATTGCTCTGTGTAAATTTGGCCATGAACCTAGTAGTTAATGGCCTTTGCTGCTGCCTGATGTCCAGAACTCCTAGGTGATCTCTGCCTATTAAATAAATTTCTTTTTATCCTAGGTCAACTAATTGCTTTTTCTAGCATGCAACTGAGAACTCTGCCACACCTAACTCCATCCACTGGGTCCATGTTCATGTCCAATGCCCTCGACTTCTGAGATCTTACAAACTTGGTTTCCAAAAATGAATGGCTGAGAGCCAACATATATCTAAACTATGTGTATACCTCAGTACCACATGGATTGCCTACTGGGGCAGCTGAAACCAAAGACATGCTAGAAAGATTAAGCCTTTAGGTAATGCAAATGTCAGTTTTTCTGATAAGCATTCATTGTTCACAGGTGGGGTGACTTTGGAGCGTTTTCCACTGTCCCCCACTAATTATGAAAAGTGCTCACAGTCTGTCTCGACCAGGGGCTTGGAGGAGGTGGTCTAACAGGAACAGCGATGGGCCTAACTGTAGCACTTTAGCTCTGTCTCGGCCTGTGTCCTCCTCGCTATTGCTACGTGACTGGCAGCCTGGTAGGGATCTGTTGAGGGAATGAGAGATTTCTGAGGCAGCATCAGGATTGGCTCTAAAAGGTCGGTAGCTACTCAGAAAGCCTATGGTCTTCATCCAGTGACTGGATGCTACACATTCTCTCCACACCTCCAGGACTGTTTCAGGCTTTTGCTAACTTGCATTTGTTTTGTCTCCACTTCTCCAAACCAGTAGTTTTCTGATTTTGAGTTTCACGAAACATGCATCAGTGGGCCACACACACCTTCAGAATTTCTGACTTAATAGGTGAGGAGTGGGACCCAAGGATTTTCATTTAACAGATTCCCAGACAATGTCGATGCCGCTGGTCTACATAGCACCGTGCGTACCACTGCTCCAAACCACCCATTGCCCCAGAGTTCACTTCCCCAGAGATGTGATAATGCTACTTCCTTCCTTAAAGACTTTTCTCGATTACCGTTGCCTAGAGAGTAAAAGTCCTTGAAGCTCAGCAGTAAAATTCTCCACCATTTGGCTTCCACCTGTTTTCTATTTTAACTCTCATCAAACTGAGATTTTGGTTTGTGCCAGGAACTCTAACAAGCCCTTGGAGACTTTGGGTCAAAGAGAAAGAGGCTTCAAGACTTTGTTGGTAAACTGAAAAGGATTTTGCCAAGAGATTAAATAAATAAGGATAGAAAAAAATGTCTGTTGGATTTAACAAGCAGAAATTCAATGAGAACAGTTTTGATGGACCTTTGGGAGTAAAAATGGATCACATGGGTTAAAATTGTGGGCGGGGAAGTTAGATAGCGGATCTGGGGTGTGATCTCTAATAAGTTTAGCCGTAAAGTGAAGTTGAACTCAGAGACGATATATGTCCAAGGTTTTCGGTGTGTGTTTGTTTTTAGGTTGGGAAATACTTGAAAGTAAATAAATACTGAGAGGACCCATCGATTAGAAAGGCTGAAGTAGCAATAATCAAAGGCATAAAGTACTGAAGAGATGGACCAGAGTAGTACACCCAGAATGGTTTGTCTTGGAAGAGGTCTATGATCACCTCATGCATTGACCATGGAGAGGTCATACTGCAGATGAATGTACTTGGGGAGATTCACTGGAGAGTAATGAGAAAGTGCCTACCTGGCTGCTTCTATTTTGTATGAGTGGGAAGATAAAGATGATGGGATGAGAGGCTTAAGGAAGGGGGAGTAGCTTCTTCGAGAGAAATGAAAGGTGTCTTGGCTACAATGGGAAGGGCTGCTGGACTGTTTAGAAGAGGTGGAGGCTGAGCTCCATGAGTCACCGTTGGTTGGATTGCTCTAAATTTGCATTCAGATTTTGTTGCTGTAAATATATACAGAGAAGGACTATTTTTGCAATTGGAGTAAACTAAACTCAAAGCTCTACTGAAAATAGATATGAATGTGAAACTCGGATACATTTGTGGCTCCAAAAGAAAACTGACAAAACCTTACCCAACAGATGAAATTTTAAGTGTAGGAAAAATGAGAAATATGAACATCGACTGCATATAGTGTATGGGGAAAAAATGAACTCAGAATGTAAGCATGAATTTTCAAGCAAGTGTTTTTCATTTGTCCCCTCAGTAATTGTCTCCACCAGCACGAGTGGACTAAGACAGTCTTGAAAGCCAAGCCCGTATGGATCAGCAGAGAGATGTGGGGAAGTGTCTAACCTAGACAAAAAGAGGTTTGCAGAGGCTAGTCTGTACATAGAAAGCCAAGAAAGCCAAGGTGTAGCTAAGCAGAGTTTCAGATGTGTATCTTCAAAGCAAGGAAAAGGCAATGTAAAATAAAAAGAGCTCTTCTAGCAGAAGGTGGCATCTGAATTGAAAGTGATGAAGGCAGAAGAAGAAGCTATGAAGAGCAAGGCGATTGGCAAACTGACATATGGGAACTTGGGTTCTAACCCCCCTCTCCCCTCCTGAGCACGGGTTTACCTCTCAGCCTCTCTTCTCATCTGTAAAAAGTGGAACTGAACTGGGTGATCTTTAGGGAAATTCCAACTCTAGCCCTCTATAAGAATAACGAACTCTAAGAAACCTGCAATGGAAAATCTACCCAGCCCCTGCATGAACAGCTGAGCTGAGCAAAGGACTGAAAGGAAGTGTGGCTTCATTTAGGAAACTGCGAGGTGCTTTTACAGCACTGTTGCTGTGATCATCTGGGACGAGAAAAGACCACAGAATCAACCTGGCGGTCTTTTTCATCAAGAGCTTTACAATCCTTCTGTACTGTTTGTAGAAAGAAAAAAAGGACGATAAGCCTTGACAACGTATTGCTCTCCCACATTCTTATGTAAGGAAGTACTGTATTTGGGGGGACTGTTCTCTTAAGAATAACAATGAGAAGTTGGATCGCCTACAGCACAACTCTTGAAGACTGGCTCAGACACTTCCACCTGTGCATGGGAAATGATAAATATTAAGTCAGTGTGGGAATAAGCTGTTGAGTAAGACATAATTTATTCAATCAGTGTAACTGTCCCTTACTCTGATATGACATCTTTCCTATTATGGGAATAAAAATTTGTTTTTCTTTTATGAAGTGATGAAAACAGAGGACAGCTTGCCTTTTTGTTTCATTTTCGGGCCCTTGCTTGGTGAAAATCAAAACACAATCTTATGATCTTATGTGGGTGTATCAGCATTCTCCAGAGAAACTGTTACGGGAAAACGAAGCAACCAGACACCGAGGGATTCTGGAGTTCGAGGTTTATTGTTTACGTGCACGGGCCCAGAGGAGTCATTTCCAAATTCTGAGCCCCGAACAAAGGATTCTTGGGGAATATATAGATTAGGGGTCTTCCTATCTAC